CTATAACAACTGCAAAAGCTGAGCACCTCACCAACAGTAAACCCTCTTGCCACAATGGAGTCAAAGACCTCACCAAAGCCTTGCTCCGAGCAAAAGGCTCCTTTATGCATTTCACTTGCAATCCATTTCTCGTCCCAATAGTTTTCCTCCATAACTCTACATGTTTACCGCAAAAATGTGAAAACCTACTTGCTGACGCTACCCAATAATTCTGCTTTTCTGAACAAATGCGCTTGCGCAGACCCCTTCTGGCAGGGTTCCCTCTCTCCAAATAAATAGAGTTTCCATCGTTTCTATCACTAAAAGAGCTATGAACCGGAATCCTAAGAAATGGGCAGTGGAGTTTTACAACCATTATCGTGCTTCATACATCAACCACACGCAATTGCAACTCATCTACACTGGGGACCAAGAAACCAGCTCTTAGTCCCCTGACAATTCAGATTACCATAGACTCCTCAAGCATGTAAACCCAACTAATAATTCCAAATAAGAGTTTCACTTAATTGTAAAAATGCTTCTAATACCATTAAAGCAGACGCAATTAAAGCTAACTCCTCTTATAAAAAAAAAAAAAAAAAAAAAAAAAAACTGAAGAATAATGGCAAGTTAAGACGTATCAGATTGAACAAGAAACAGAAAAAAAAGAAATACCTGAGAAAACTTGTTTGCCACCTATTGTTTGTTGCTTTGAATCACTTTCTTCTATTTTTTGTTTTCCTTTTTCTTTTTTCTTTTTCTTTTGCTGCTTTTTTAACGGATTAAAGATTGCTTCCCTAGCTTTGCCTCCAATGGCGATGGTTTGGGTTGTTGGTTTTCGGGTATAGAGCAGTGGAGAAGAAGCGGAAACCGTGAAGATTTATTGACACAAATATCCCCAGACGATATTCCAAATGGCGGAAATGCCCTAATCGGACAAGAATGGTGAAAACATAAGTTAAACAGAGAAAGATCAATTGTTAAATCAACGGTTTAACCTAATAAGTCACAAATGCTAATTTATTATAACTTTTTACAAGTTTTGAGAAATTGGAGAAATTTTAATTTTAAGATAATAAATTAGATTAAGAAAATAAAAAATGGCCAAAGTAAAAAAGTACAATTTTATTAATTAAAATATTTAATTATTTATTTTTTATTGAAGTAAAATAATTATAAAAAATTCGTTGTTTAATCAATAGGCTGAATAATTAAAAATATTTAGTGTGTTTAAATAAGTTATATTTTAAACTCAAATACTAATTAAAAGTGTACTTAATTAATATACTAAAATAAACAAAATTTCATCAAAATAGATTTAAAATATTTAATTGACCATTATTTAGAGAAATTTATTCTTGATTTTGGCTCCTATATCTATAAATTTAAGATATTAAAGATGATTTTTCAGCATTTAATTTTATCTTTAACTTATTACAATCGTAACAATTTAATAACTATATTTGTAATTCTAAAATATTTCAATTTATATTTCTATATATTATTTAAATATATCCAAAAATATATAAAATTTAATAAATCTATTACGAAATATTTAATTATTGGTGGAGCAAGTTTTTTTATTTTACTTTATGTTTTTTTTTTTTTACTATACAGTTCATTTATTCGAAATAAATATTAAAATTTAAAATATAGTAAATAATTTTATCAATACACAAATGTGTAACTCTTCAAAAATTTTAATTGCATTTATATTCATTATTGTAAGATTTGGGTTCAAATTTTCTCTAAGTTTCTTTTCATCGATAAAACACGGAAATGATTATAGTTCGTTTGATAAATTTTTTATAATTGAATTTTAAAAAAAAAAAAAAAAAAACTCTGTGAACATATAAAAAGAGAAATGTTATGAGTTGCTAACTAAATTACTAATATTATTTTTAACTCTTTTGTTGCTTAATTTACTTTCTATTTTATTTTACTGTTCAAACCCAAGCCCAACCTAGCTCGAGTCCAAACCTAGTACAAACAGAGTCGTGTTCGAGGAGAAGAGACAGCAGATAACTCTTTCTTTTCTGTCATCTCACATGTTCTTGTATTGAGAGAAGCAAAAGACCATTGAAGGAGGAAAAAGGAGAGGCGTCCGGCTCGAGAAGAAGCAGAGAGTACGGCCGGGGAAGCGCGAAGAAGCAATGGTGCTCGGCTCAAGGATAAAGAAAGAGACAGGGACCCTCTGCGTGGACTGGACTCGATGGTAGGAGGAGGAGGTTTCATTGGAGGCGACTGGAGAGAGGGGAGAGGCTGAGGGCTTCTGGAGAGAAAACAAGGGGAGAGGGAGAAAACGAAAAACCGGTTCCTAATCCTGTTTCCTCTGAAAATCAAAGGAGGAAGCAGCAAAGATAACTTGAACGAAGCCAACGAGTTTTTGTTTTGGGAAAAAAGAAGAGAAAAGAAGATTGAAAGAGGAGAAAAAGAAAGAAGAAAGCAAGGGGAAAGGAGACTAAAACTTAGCATTCCAACCTGGACCCCTTAGGTAATTGCTAAAAACTTAAGAGTTTGCAGTTCCGTTTTGCGTTCAACGAAAGCTTGCTATTTGAATTGGATGGCAGCGTTTTGTATGAAACCCTTTAGAATGCATAGAAGAGGTTGAAATGAAACTGGGAAACCATGAAACTATGTTTATGTCAGCATGAATGAGTAGAGTAAATGCTGAATGATGCCATGAAAAGATTCTGTTTTTTGGTACTTCATTGTGAAACTCGGAAGAGTGTTGTGAGAAATGGAAAATAATGAGACTATTTGTGATGAAATCTGCATGTTAAATTGAAATAAGTCATACCTTATGTGAAGTCTTTGTTTTTATTACCTGTTGCAAAATTTCATGCTAAAACAGTGATCCAAATGAGTTGGTTCAAATCCTTATCTTGAGAATTGAATTATCATGATGAAATGAGAACTGTTTGACTCGAAAGGGATTAATTACTAAGCAAGGGATGGAGTAAAATGAATGAAGTAATCTTGTTATTTGGATTATGTGATTCAGCTTGACATTCTTGACACTGCGTTTAACATTTGGGACTGTTTAGACTGCCTGAAGCAAATCTCTAGATTCACTACCTGCCTTGATACCCATCGCTATTGGATGATGTTTGGAGGGCCAAAAAGGAGCTATGAAATTATTAGTTTACTTCAAAAAAGTGCATACTGTCTCTCTTTGTCTTTTTATTACTCCCTTGGCGGTAACCTCACTTTTGTAGTTACTGTTTTTTTGCATTTTCATTATGGTTCTGTCTAACTTAGATGTTAGAACTTCAGTTAGTCTCATGGTTCAGTAGTATTATGACTTAGAATGTAAATAGAAAATTCTTAGCCATAATTGATAAGTCTATGCTACTGGGTTGTTATCTAAACCTTCTCATCTGACTATATTCCGAAATTAGTTTCTTTTTTCATCCTAGTGCCTGCTTTAACACCTGATCCTGCTATGAATAGGATTGGTGGCATAAAGCATAATTTCTTAACTGAAATCAATAAGTCTATGCTATTAAGTGGTGCCTTAAACTTCTCACCGGCTGTTTTTCAAACAGAGTTTCTTTTTTCAGACTAGTGAATGCTTTAATGCTTTATTGGCTTCCAATAGAATCAGTAATGAGTCCCTGATTTTGGGTCATTAAACATATTTTTCAGGGGGTTGCAATACTCCTGATATTGCTCATGGATTTATTCTAGAAATTAGTCACTCTGCAGGATATCAGTTTTCTGTATCAGAGTATTTTGACCACATCATATTTTTGTTTTCAAATACTACTTCGCTTTGATGCTCTTTCGTGTCTTCACATTCTACTCTTCTGTAATGTTCAAATTAATCTGGTTGAATTTTTAGTGACTTTATTTTTGGTGTTCTTCCCATTTTTTATAGGTGCGGCAACAGTACGAATGGTTTTAACCTTATAGAGAACTGAATACAATTTTTTCTTCGACATTTTATTCAAAACTCAGATTGATTCTCGACTCTCATGTCAGCTGACTACTCAAAGGTGTGTTTCTTTCATTTACTGGGTTCTTCAGTATGGGAGATCAGAAATCTGGGTAATCTAGTTGTGTGAGAAGGTCTATCACATGGCAAGTAATCACTGTGCTGATTTTATGGCTGATATTACTTGTGATTTTTCTGCTCTTACTAGTAGGATATATACTAATCCTCCTGAAAAGCCACAATTGGCCTTGGCTGAGGCTTTGCGCATCTCTTTCAGGCACAGCTAGTGCTGTTCCTTCATTCATTTCATTGAGAATAGAAATCTGGAAATGGCCTTCTGTACGATTCCTACATGCGGCTACTCACGCAAAATTTACAAGAAATTTCATTTTCTTGTGAACTTTTCATCCTCCTGTGCTCTGAAAACTGCAAATATTGTTGGAGAGAGCAGCAATGATTACAATTACATTGAATTGCAGCATAGGATGCGGAGAAGTGCTGCCTCAGGTGACTTAGGAGAATCTCTATACACTTTGGATATCATGAAAAATATAAGTGGAAGGCCTACTGTATATGATTTTAATTCCTTGATGCATTGCTGCTTGAAATCGCGAAGCGTACCGTTTCAGGAGTTGATGGATGTGTACACAGAAATGAAAAGGTTTGGGCCTGTCCCTAATGCATCCACTTTCAATACCCTCCTCAATGGAGCGCGTGTTCTTGGAACTATGAGAGATGCACTGCATATTGCTAGGGAGATGTGGGGAAGTGGGTTTGTGCCATCTTTCAAATCTCTGTCAAGAATGTTGAAAAGATCGCTTTTGACAGGGAGTTTAGATGATGCACTTGATGTGTTTGAGTTAATGTTCGGGATGAGATATTTTCCAACTGAATCCACTTTGAGTACATTCATTTGGATGCTTAGTAAAGCTGGGATGATTTGTGAGGCATCTCGCTTGTTCTCTGCTCTTTTAGATAAAGGTTATTTTTATGGCGGGCATACATTCAGTCCAATTTTATGGGCTTTGTGCAAGTCTGATCAGCCATATGTGGCATTGCAATTACTTTATTCCATGAGGAAGAAGGGTGTAATTCCTAATGTCTGTTCATATACAGCTTTGATTTATGGTTTCAGTAGAGCAGGGTATTGGGAAGATGTTTTTCGCTGTTTAGATGAAATGAAAAGTAATGAATGTAAACCTAATGTCATAACATACACTGTGGTTATCAAGTTTCTTTGTAATTCTGGGAGGATGGTAGACGCCTTATACTTCTTGGATAAAATGGAAAAGGAAGGTTGCTATCCAGACTTGCTTGCTTACAATGTAATTCTCCGTGAAGTTTCTTGTAAAGGTAGCATGACTGACATTTGCGAGCTTATTCAGGTGATTGAACAAAAGGGGCTTTTGCCCGATTTGTACACATATGCTGCTTTAGGTGGGGGAATGTTGAAAAGGGGAAAAGTAGGAATTGCCCATGACGTGTTGCTTTATGTCATCTCAAAAGGCTGTATGGATGTTGTTGTTTTTAATCTATACTTGCGTTGTTTATGTCACGACAACCAATCAAGAGAAGCACTGTGTCTGTTGAGCAAAATGGTAGAAGTAGGTTTTCAACCAAATAATATATCATATAACACAGTTCTTTATGGTTTTTGTAGAGAAAACAATGTTGAGGAGTCCCTTGGGCTCTTGGACCGTTTTGAATGGCCAAAGGGACCTGATATGGTTTCCTTCAATACGATATTGTCTGCAGCATGCAAACAGGGAAACTCTTCAATCATTAGAAGGATTTTGTACCGTATGGAATCTGAACGTCTTAGCTTGACGTTGTTGGTTCGACTTGTTTGATCCAGTATTTTTGTACATATGGGAAATTTTCTGAGGGTTTAAAGCTACTGGAAACAATGATGTGTTATGGTCCCAATCCGTCGACAGTGACTTTCAACATGCTGCTGGATAAGCTTTGCAAAAATGGGTTACTTGGGACTGCGCTTCAGATGTTCAGATCTCTTAGAAATAGTGGATATTTTCCTGATATTATTTCATATAATATTCTAATACATGCTTCCATAAGAGAGGGCAACAATATTCTGGTGAGTCAATTATTTAGAGACATGTATAGGCAGAGATTGAAACCTGATGCTTTTACTTATGGATCATTAATTGGTGGTCTCTGTAAGGAAGGAAAGATATCTGTTGCTCTCCAGTTGAGGGATCATATGTTATCGGCAGGAATCATTCCAAGCATTCCTCTTTACAATACAATATTCCTGGCATTATTTCAGAGAGCTAAGCTCTGGGAAATTGTCTCAGTACTTAAAATGATGGTAATGGAAGGTTGTGAATCAGATGATGTGACCCATGAGATCCTCAACGAAGCGATGACAAAAGGTTGGATGAAGCACTTTCCTCAGGTTGCGAAATCTTTGAAGATTGTCATTAGTAAAAGTTGCAATCAGGAAACCTATTATGGAGCAATAACTACATGAATAGCATGCTTTAGAATGTTGGTGCTTGCTCTCATGTAATGCTGTTGCACTGTCTAGTCTAATACAGCTATACACGGAAGATTTAACGTTGAATCAGGTATCAATGATTTGTATGTCACTCTGTAGGCTTTGTGGAGTTCTCAGTGGATGGCAAATAGAAGCAGTGGTTTATTTTGCTTTTATTTTCTATGACATCCACTTTTGTCATCTCCATTCTCTCTGTTTACTTCTAGCGGCAGTATTCATAAGTCATAATTGTTGTTGGCAGAGCATGGGGTAGCTGTTGAAAGGTTTTTGGTGAAACAAATGTTCCGTGTGATAAACATCAGTGAGAGGGAGGCATCTGAATTAAGAAACATTCAGGAAGGTATGTGAAATTAGCTCCAACTGAGGTTTATCTTTGACCTTTCTTACATTCCTTGAGCAACCCTTGGGGGTTCATATACTTAGTGCACCCTGTTAAGATGCAGAAGTTTCCTGCATCTGTTATGCCTGATTGTGAGAGCCAAACACTGTATATGTACATGATTTTTCTTCTGTTGGGAGAACCTGAAAGACATACTATTTCTAAATCATTTTTTGAGCAGTATAAAGTGTTAAAACAGTATTATTTTTTGGTCCAATTGGTTGTATGATATAACTGTTTGGACTTGAATGTAACCAAGGTAATATGTGCCTATGAATTGTGTCTGCACATGTTCACTTTCACATAATTGACAACCTTATAATTTCTGTTGTAGGAAGTAACTAGTGCAACCAAATTCTTGCTAACTTCAATGTCATGTTTATTTCTTGAAGGTTTAGTATTTTATAATCTTTGATCCTGATGGGTCCCCAAATATTCAGTTTATAAAATCAATGGACGATGTTGCTGACTTGATATCTGAGAAAACTGTCTTGTTAATCTCTCTTCTTAACAATTAGATTTGTTCTCAGCCTAAACTGATAGTGGCAGGGAAGTCTCAATGATTTATGTACTTAAAGTTAGGCATATGTTCTATCTGAAACTTTTCCTGAATTCAGTTTAAGGTTGAAAATTTATTTGCAACTGATATTTATAAGAGGAAGTATCTTTATGGAACCTTTAAAAATCCAATTAATGTTATGTAATGGGATTAAAAGATTGTCTGGTAGATACAAGGGCTGAATTTGCTTTTAAATGCCAGGAAGATTGAAGTCCTTTCAAATGCAAAGTTTTGGGTCGTGGCACCAGATAGGATTGCTAGTAACAATTTGTTGCAGACATGAGGTAGCATTGTGCTCCTTCTCCTGTATTTCTGTGAACTTTTGCTAGAGTTTGGAGATAAATAACCAGTTTAGATTATATTATGAGGTAGTTTGGACATTATGGTCTTAGCTTTTTGTAGTATTTAGGGAGATGTGTGTTGTTTCCTCTACCTTAAAAGCTTCCCTCCTCATTCATTTGAGGGGTTGGGTGAGCAAGGATGAATGTGATGTAGGACATATCAGTGTTAATTTTTCAATTTACTGATTTAGAAATAAAAGCATAGACCTCACATATAAGGTTTCTTTTTCATCACCTCTAAATAGTTTTAAACATCAGAAAATTTTCTGAAATTTTTGGAGTATTTTATTGAATAACTGAAATAAAATGTCCTAGAAGTTATATTACAAAAGGTATTTGTAGTGCTTGCTAAATAACTTTTCCCCAATAGCAGTAAATTGAGGAACACTAGTTGTAGTAAGAACATGAAATCTAAATGTTAAAAAGAAAAAAAAAAGTTCTTAAATCTGTAATCATAGACTTCTAAATAGTACAGTAATTTTATACTAAAAAGAACTATAATTTCTAATCTATTTAAGCAATCTAGCAATTCTGCATTAGAAGGAACTTATGAGGATTTATGAGACATGATTAATATTTGGATAGATCTGTAAAGCTTCATATACAAGTTGCATGCCTATATGTACTATATTAATTTTGACTCCATAAAAATTCCATTCTGCATTGGGGTTAAAGCTATACGTTAAATGGTGCCAGAATTTTCAATAAATGCACCCAATATCGTAATCTTATGTCGGATAGGGTGGTTTTTGTTTTTTTTTTTTTGTTTTTGGCTTCTTTGTGTTGTAAGGTTTGTGGATTTCTAACAAGAATGCCTTTATCTAACTTGTAGAGTAATTGGGAGGTTATTTTTTGCTGATCCCTTTTCTGTTCTCTTTTCTGGTTCTCTTGTTTTCTCTTTGTTCATCTTGTACAAGATGTCTTATTCAATCTGTTGTTGATTCTCTCTCTTTTTGTTATTTGTTCTTTGTTCTTTAATAATGTTTCTTTTAACATAAAAGGTGCATCTTTGAGCACTTTCCTGGACAGGCAAAAGATGCATAACTCGTCTCTTAATCAATTCTGTCACTTGAAACTGTCAAAACCATGTCCAAGGTGTTGGCAAGTGTCCAGCAGCAGAAGTGACAATATGTTCAATATTCTCATCCTATATTCAACTGCAGCTGGTCATCAAGTCAATGTATAGAGGAGAGTTTAGTGGTTAATGTGCATGGCAGTGAAGGAAGCTGCAAATGCTTGCTCAATTTACATATTCCAACTTCGATCTGGAGGAATTTTCTGCTGGGGTGTTTAGAAAGCCGGACACATTTCTTGTAAGATAATGTATGTTTGCTGTAATGTGCCAGCCAGGTACTGTACAAACTTAAAGTAGTCTGTCGTAGTACTCTGTTTATTTGATGGGTTTTGGTACAGAACAAACATCTGTGCGGTATCAGAAAATAAACTTCTGACCAACAAAAGTTGTGTCGAACTTGTAACTTAGTACGACTTTCTTTAAAAATGTGAGGTTACTATATAGCTCCTCATTTTTCTTTTTGTGGGTCACCTTCTCTTTTGATGTTTTCACTTCCAGCTGAGTGAAAAATGAAGGACTGGGCTTCAAGACTCTCCAAAGCAAATGGATCGCAGCTCTCTCTGCTGTCTGGAAAGTTTGACTGGTCTATTTGGCTTCTTCAAGTATTGCAAGTATTTTTCATGCTTTATTCAACCTGCTGTTTATTTCTTGTACATTCTTCTCAATCTCTAGATTTTCAATATTTCTTATATCCTCATTGGTGCATGACTCTGGTACTCTTAATTCTATCTACAGATGAAAACATTTTCAAGCTTCAATCTTGATTTGGGGCTAGATTCCAGGTAGGTTTCAGCCGTCAACCAAGGCAAGAGCTTTGAACTCCTGCTTCTTCTGTTCGTCAAAATTTATTTTGTTTGTTCAATTATGCGAGTCATTTGGTTTCTTGATAAAACGGTTTGATTAATGTGCATTTTTATATATCTCAGCTTCACATATGGAGTTGTGTGTGCTGCTTTTAGATAAAAGAGCTCTACGCGGGGATTATATTTTGGTAGTTGACGGGGGAGGGAGTGATTTTGTCACGAAAACAAATTTTGTAAAAATATTTTTATTGAAAAGTTTTGAGAATTGCGAACGAAAACGATCTTATTAGAAACGAGATCAGACTCTTTAAGAAAATTGGTTGGCCTACTTTTAGAGTTTTTAAGTTGGAGGTAGAAGAGTACGAGGTTATGTAGACATCTGTAAAACTAAACTTTTCTTCTTGGTGTGTTTATAGTGTATTAAATTCTCTAACAAAAAAAAATCAGCAAAAGAGACTTGTAATCTTAAACTGTATGAATTAAACTATACACTCCTCGACTCTATTATACAGAAATTTACAAGTGTTGGTTAACTAAAAAATGCTTTTTAGTGCCGTTAAATTTTAAAAATTAATTGAAAAATGCTTTGGTACCTAATAAATAAAATAATAATATATCAATTGAATAATTATTATTATTTTTTTTTGGAAAATTATTTAATAAATCAATTAGGAAATTTTGAAAAAAGAAAAAAGTATATACGTACACGTGTATTTCAATTTCACCCCCTCACCCTACCGTCAATCTCTCCGTGCTGCTCACAAACAAGAGGAAGAAATAAAAATGTCGGATGCTTGTTTCTGTTGCGATGCTTCCGCTTCTCTAGACTTCATTTTCCATCAAACGCGGTCTTAATACACTGCCGGTAAGAAAATCTCTCAACCCCCAGACAGATTCAGATTCTTCTTTTTCTTTCCCTCCCAAAGAAATCATTTGACGATCTGATCCTCCGACAACGCTGTCTGCATTCTTTCAATTCTCGGAATTCGTTTTTGCTTTTTCTTATCCTTGCGTGTTTTTTGGATTCTTTTGACAACGTCAGATGCGGTTTACGGGCAAATCTTCTTAACGTTTTAGGTTTCATGGTTAGGGAGATGCAGTGATGGCTAGACAGAGAAAAAGATTCTGCTAACGATCCTGTTTTGGCGAATTCGTGAGCGAGAAATTTGGAGGAAATTTTCATTACTGGGGTGTTGTTTGGATTTTCAAGTAGCACCGGGCTCTCGTGCTGAAATTGGGTTGAATAGAAATCCGATCCGATAGTAGTAACTGCTTTGCTCGGTGGAGTTGATATTGAATCTGCGTGAGAAAGAGGGGGAAGAAGACTATGGGGGTGGATTATTATGATGTATTGAAGGTGAACAAGAATGCAACGGAAGATGATCTCAAGAAGTCGTACAGGAGATTAGCAATGAAATGGCACCCTGATAAGAATCCCAACAACAAGAAAGAGGCTGAAGCCAAATTCAAGCAGATCTCTGAGGCATATGAGGCAAGTATACGCTTTAGCTTCTCAAAAATTTCTTTTCTTCTCATCCGTATCAAAAAAAAAAAAAAAAAAGAAGAAAATGCGAGTGTGCTTTCGTTTACTGGATTGGCATTTTGCATGACAATTTATAGAATACCGTTCTGAGATGAATGTCCTTTACCTGCATTGTCCACTCAGGGAGCTTTATAACTAAGCTAAGGATGCCAAGGTGGATAGGGAAATGAGCTTCATACGATAAGAAATTAATGAATTCCTGGGAATTATTGGGTGTCAATAGTTAAACTTTTCCAAATCCAAGTTGCTTTTGGATACCGTCTTGCCATATGGCTGTGGAAGGTTATATTAAAGAATCTGTTTCAAAGAGGGGAAGGGCAGGGTAAATATGGAATGAAATGTACTTGCATGTGATAAATTCACTCGAGTTTTGTGCGATTTACTTTATTAGTGAGAGAATTTAACAGAAACGAGAGTGAAATATTTTTTCTTCTTCAGATACAAATGGTAAATGAGGGGAATAGAAAGTTTTTATTATTTACAAGATAATGTTCTGTTGTCTATTATAGAAGGAAAAAGATCAAAAGAACATTTAGGCTAATCAAGCTTCCCAGTATTTTAGTACTTGCATTTACTTGCGTTAATTTTCTCCCAATTTGGAGAATACTTTCGATAGAAATGACAAAGAAGTATTTCCTCCCATTCTTGTTTCATTCTATTACTAAAAACTCTCGTAGACAAAGTTGAAAATGTTAAACTTTTATTTTTTTTATTCCATGCTGACCTTTGCTTCCCCCAAACATAGCCTAAATTGACAAAATGCATTTTTACTGGGGTTCACTTGGATGTGGAATTATGATATTCTTGTGACTTCAGGTCTTGAGTGATCCTCAAAAGAGAGCAACTTATGATCAATATGGTGAGGAAGGATTGAAAGATATGCCCCCTCCTGGTAGCAGTGGATCCACATTTGGGGCTGGGGGGTCCAATGGCTTCAATCCTAGGAATGCAGAGGATATCTTTGCAGAATTCTTTGGAAGTAGTCCTTTCGGATTTGGATCATCAGGACCTGGGAGGTCCATGAGGTTCCAGTCAGACGGAGGAGGTATATTTGGGGGATTCGGTGGTGAAAATATCTTTCGAACATACAGTGAGGGGACCACACTCAGGAAACCACCACCTGTTGAGAGCAAATTGCCGTGCAGCCTTGGGGAGCTCTACTCTGGATCAACAAGGAAAATGAAGATATCCAGGACAGTAGTCGATGCCAATGGGTATGTGGATTTATCCTAGTAACATGATTCCATTAATATTATGAAATCTTATGAACATGAAAAGTATGCATGTTTAATTTCTTGCTTAAGGACAGGTTCTTGATGGTTAGCAGTTTTTGTTAATGATATCTTGTAAACATATGAAAGCATATAATAATGTTTTAAATGATATTTGGATGGGAAAGCCGAAACATGCTTATCGTTTTACACCATTGTTGCCATAAATGAGTTGGACATTTGGACAGTAAAAGTTAAGGTAAATTACACTTTTCATCCTCTAGTTTAGACTATCTACGGATATCCCTCTACTTTATAAATATTCCTTTGTCTATTTTGGTGTAAAAAACACCCTTCAATTAATTCCCTCACTTAGTCAACCATCAATTATTTATTAGTTGACTTGTTATATTATCTTAAAACCATAAGTATCCTTTGAAGAATCTCATGATTCAATTTACAATTTCTTGTTTTGGTCTTTTGTTATTTTTACAATCCAAATCAAAATACTCTTAATTGATTTTTTTGTTCGTTTTGGATTAACTATTTTATAAACATTTCAAAAAAAAATTTATAATATGATCTTGACCATATTAGCTTCCCATTTTGCGCATATTGAAAAACTTTCAAGTTTCTTTCAATTAATTTCAAATAATTCTAAAACATAATAACTAATTTAAATCAAAATTCTAACTAATTAATATATTTAATATATATAAGTATAATATGTTCCAGATATTAATATTATGAAATATTTAATATTATACTTCGAACTTCGAACATATTTTATCAATATGCAGTATATAATATATAATTTATATTTTTAGCATTAATTAATTAGATCTAATAAAATTTTTATACTAAATAAGCATTAATGGAAAACTTCTTTTCTCCTTGTGTGGTTTCCTCTGCTTTAATCAAAATGTTATGTTGAAAGCATGACACTTGCTATTCGGCTTCCTTGCCATCTTGAGCCAAGTAGCTTAGATCACTAAATAAACTTTTCTATCCCTTATAGCAATTCTTAATCAATGTCTTTTGAGTGCTTAGCTGATATCTTTTAAGTTGATAGTTGACATCTTTTGAGTAACTTATGCTTTCTTAGCGGATACTGATAAAAATAAGCTTATTATGCCCTAGGAATGAAAAAGAAGATCGAAAATTTTTTATTTAAAGAAAAAAGTGAATGAAATAAAAGGAAGATGAGAAATAATCTACATGCATGACATGTTCAACAACCATTTAGTACATTGTAGTGCCTTTTCTTTCATTCACCTTTTTTTTCCGAAATAAACCTTTCCTTTCATTCTCATCTAAGCGTTGTAGCATTGCACTCACTAGAGCATCTGGTGCCTTGGTTTTAGCCGGACCACAATCGTCCCTCTTCCCCTAGTATCTTATTCTGGTCTGCTTCTTTTTGTTAAAAGTAATTGCTTTGTATTCAAAAGACATGAGGCTGCCCTTCTCTAAATTTCTGATACTCTTGACTGATGTTTAAAAACAAAATTTTTCACAGAAGGCAGGTACAAGAAACAGAGATATTAACCATTGATGTGAAGCCTGGGTGGAAAAAGGGAACAAAAATCACTTTCCCTGATAAAGGAAATGAGCAGTTAAATCAGCTTCCAGCTGATCTTGTGTTTGTTATTGATGAGAAGGCACATGATTTTTACAAGAGAGATGGTAACGATCTCATCATAAACCATAAAGTATCACTAGCCGAGGCATTAGGGGGAACCACAGTGAATATCACCACACTAGATGGCCGTAATCTATCAATACCTGTAACTGATATTATAAGTCCTGGCTTCGAGCTTGTTGTTGCTAGGGAGGGAATGCCAATAGCAAAGGAGCCCGGCAATAGGGGAGATCTTAAGATTAAATTTGAGGTTAAATTCCCAACAAAATTGACAGCAGAACAAAAGGCAGGACTCAAGCGTGCCTTGGGTGGTTGAATATGATTTTGTTCAATACTTTTTGGCTAGTAACTTGAGCAGGACTCTGATGCCAAAGCAAGCTGATTCGCCCTGGTATCTGGCTAGATTTTTGGACCGAAAGATATGGGCAGCAGACGGACTGTTCATATAAATTTATACAGTAACCAAGATTAAAAGGTGATAGCATCGTACCTTCTGTTATATGTACTGTTGGTGTTCTTTTTCTTTTAATTTAAGTAGGTTTAACATTTTAATAATTTTTGTTGTATTCGTTTGCGGAGATCGGGTCACCTGTGTACTATATGTACCATGTGCAGAATGTATGTGTTGAATTATTTTTCATTTGAAGATTAAAAAAATAAGTCATTAATTTCTTCCTCTCAAATTATCATATGCACTGTTCCATGTTTAGAATTGAAGTTTTAAATAATATGATTTTAAATTTGATTTTTAGTCCCGTATCATAAATGAACTGATTTAATCTAAATTAATCTAGTAACAGGGACGACAACACACTATACATAATCTATACATATGTATATATCTCCGATGGTTACTGGCAATGAGCAAACATGATAAAATTGAAATACAAAAAGCTGTAAACACACCTTTATATTCCTTTTAGTTTTGTCGCTGACCAAGATATAATGTGTAATATCTCCATCAAACGATTTTTGTTTATCTTTTACTTTCGTCTAAACAAAAACAAGGCCGGTTGAGTTCATAAAAATCTCCCTTTTGACAACATTGCATACACAAGCAAGCCAAAATTTAGTGCTTCTGGTGTAAGGAACTAACAAAAGAGCCGATGTATTACACATTATGGCTGACAAAATAATATTTACAATGAAACAACTCAAAATCCTCTACTTTTGGGGGCATCCTTCGGCCAGCCAACGCCCCCATAGTGTTGTCCTCCATTAGGTTGACAAAAACGGAGATCAGTCGGAGGAACCCGCCAAGCACCCTGCTGTATCTGTTGAGAAGGAGGTCTCAACAGATGCGTTGGTACACCGTGCCCTTGGCTGACCATGTGGCCGCCAAAGTTTTGAACTGGGTTTGGAGGTTGAGGTAGCTGGTGTTGCGGTTGCCACTCTGGAATATCATCGTCATCGTCGTCATCATTCCAAGGCTGAATTGCAGCCCCTCCAGTACGTATTTCATTCTGCCAGTTCCCCGTAGGGACATTAACATCAGCATCAGGTTGCCCATACTTTTGAATGAGCTCCCTCATTTGATTTACACCTAAGGTTGGAGTCTTAGAAGGTGGGTGTATGGGGGTTGAAGCTGGGCCCCGAGATAGGGTTTCTGCAGAATAATGGCGACCAGAGAAGTTAAACTCTGGGAGGTCATCCTCATCCCGGGAGGCTGCAGGGCCAAACCCAGGAGGGACATCATCATCATCCTGAGAAGGTGGTGTATTATAGGCAGAAAGCCCAGCAGTAGGTTTAGATGTGTAATTAACATTCATGTTTGTAGTATCCTTTTCATGATGTCTCCTGGTATTGGAGTGTTGCTTTTTTGAGGTGTGTTTAGGGTGTGATGTTGAGTTGGGGGACATAGCAGTAGAAGTTAATTGAGGCCTTCGCCATACAACAACACCAATTAGACCATTATCTAAAGTAATAAGAGCCTCCAGTTGATCCTTTGGGAGGATCTTGCTGAGCATTTCCAGAATTTTAGCATGAGGTGGGCATAAATAAAGTTCCACTCCGGGGGCAGGTTCAGCAAAACCAACTCTCCCGTCAGTAACATAAGAATTAGCCGCCTGCATCAAATTGCCCTTTTCAGTTGTTATTACACTTTGATTGGAGGAGCCAAACTAAATATGTACGACATAAAATTAACCTTAAACTAAAAAGAAGTTTTCCAGAACCCAAATAAAAAAAAAAAAAAATTGATTTCTTACCTCAGACAGACTGCCAGTTTCACTTTCACTTTTAGGCGATCTCTCCTTTTCAACCAAGTGCATCACCTGCAAAATTTGAGAATTTGCATCATTAATAGCCATCCTAGTAGGTTATTAAACTGACAACGCATCATCCATTTAAATAAAGAGAATTGCCTTCTTGCAGCCGTTATTTTGGGCCTTCCCATAATCAGGATTTACATTTTAGATTTTCCGCCAGACCGCGTTACAAATTCTTCTATAAAGAAAAATACCATAATTCCTGCTTCATACGACATTTTTACACTTGCACTCCCATGCTTTACAAAGGTGCTGATTATAGTACCCATTCATTGATAAAATAATTTGAAAGAAAAAAAATATATATTAAAATTTCCATGATTTTTAAATAGTTGCCAGATCTCCAGCTCTACGCTCAGTAGATTTAAGCAGCAGGTCCTTTTCAATTTGTTCGACATCCAAAATAATAACATAACAATAACCCAGTTGTGTACCCAATCTTGCCGGGAGCCTCCATAGACCTTCATTTATTCTTCCTTTCGAGGATTCTATATTAGATGCAGCTTATTACTTGACGGTTATTAATCTTGTAAGCACGAGCATGAGATACATACCCACAAAAATAATAATCCTACAAAATTTCGATATGATCCCTCATCTAAAAACTGCTCCGACCCCTTATTTTATTGAAGCTTTCTGCCTATGATCTGACATTTCCCGTGGCTGAGAAGACCCAAAATAATAGCAGCAGGAAGGAATTCTCAATAGAAACAAAATGGAAGGAAGGAATTCACTCCTCCTTTCTTTCATTTTATTCGACACAAAGAAACACAATAGAAAGTCAGTACAATTGAAGTAAACTCGCGATACCATTACAGCTCGACTTCGGGACATTGGGAGTTCTTGGAGAAACTTCTCAAATGCATCTAGCCTGACCCTTCCCTTCACCTCAAGATAGTCAGGCCACTCTTTGGAGGGTGATTTTTCCCCACTGCAATACCAAAACCAAGTCAGTAACAAGTACTCAGAGGTAATCTAATTCTCCTCCAGTATATCTCAACAATCAAACAAAAAATTACAATTTAATTATCAATCTAATCAGAAAATAAATTATCCATGATTCACAGATTAAAACCAAAACACTTAAATAAATGACTCCAGCACATTCTAAATAAAACAAATATAGGGTTCCTGATTTGAAGACAAAGGATATCTAGATCACAAAAAATAAAAATAAAACATATAAGCTGATTATTGAAAACTACCAAGAGAATTTGTTTGCAAACCCAATCAAACACAACCTGAACTCCGCTGTAAAGAAATAATGTAGTGACTGACACTAATACTTACCTTTTATAAATACCCATAACCGAAGTTGTGGTGGAGATACTCAGCTGAAGTAAACCATCCCATACATGATCTCCCTTAGGCAACACAACAGGAAGTTTCGTTTCTGATTTTATATCAGAACCTTTGGGTTTCGAATCAACGTCACATTTTCGGGAACGTGCATCAGTAGTTTCACGATTCTGTAGTACAGCATTGATGATATCCTGTTTAGTCCGAGCAGCGGATTTTGACTTGGAACCAACTTCTGAGTCATTCTTTCCTGATACAGGCATAACCTTTCCAGTATCTGCAGGTAAATTTTCAAACGGTGGCTCTGAATGTAAGGATTCCATGAACTCATCAAGAGAGACAATTGGCGGAAGAAATTCGGCATCTTTCAATCCATCATCCACAATCAGTCCTTGCATTAGATCGTTACCCTCAGTTGAGGGTATAGTGATTGTGCAATCAGTACCCTGATCCACTGAATTTTTCTTTCCATTGGAAAAGTTCACTTCATCTTTCTTTATAAATTTTGCAGGAGGCAGCGATCCTGCATCCTTAGGTTTTGATTGAACCTGAACTACTGAACTTGCTGCAACAGAAACCTCCATTAAACCACTATCAACTTGTTCAACTTCTACTTGAAACTCACCCTTGTGTGTTTTTTTTACCAGCCGCCGGATGTCTGCGTCTGGCAGAACCACCATTTGAGCCATCTCTTCAGCTTTTGCTTGTCGCCACTGAGAAAGCTCCTTTGAAGCAAGTTCCTCTGCCGTCATAGAGCAGAGTTTCTCTGGAGTAATTACTCCAGAGATTACTCTTTCTCTTAATTCTGGGTTATTCCGATCCTTTAAATTGAACAAAAGAGACCTACCTCTCTCTTTATACTTCTTATTGACACCACCAAACAATTTAAACAGTTCCACTTCAATCTTGAATGCCAAAAGCTGCACAGACTGACCTGATTCTTCTTCCTCATTTCCATTCACTTTATTTTCAGGCCTCTGAATTTCAGCTGTTTGAATTTCATTTTTCACCCCACCATCTGTTTCAGGATCCATTACCCAGGAAAGGCCATTTCCTTGCAAAAGTTCATCTTTGGCAAAAATGTTGTCACTAAAATGAAACATCCTCCTGTTGGAGAACATTGTTCACTTGAGATTCTTGTTCATCCCCCGTCTTTCTCTCAGGTGAGCTTCTTTGAGAGATAAGTTGATCATCAGCACACTTCTGAGCAGAACATTCATCACTGGAGGTCAACGCCTGCATGGTCCCTTCAGACACATGGGAAACAACTCCAGAACCAATAGAAGTGGATTCCATGGCTTGCGAAACATCCACAGACTTAGCAGGAGTACTTGAAGATTCAATCTGAGAAGGTTTAACCACCTTAGAAGGCTCACTTTGCTGCTGAAAAACCAAGGACAATGCAGAAGCCAATGACTCCCTCATTTTGGATCTAACAGATTCAAGTGTCTCGTTTCGAGCCTTTGAATTTTGCTGCATCTGTGCTGGTAGATTTTTTTGAGTTGTTTGTTGAGCAGATTTACTAGTTATGGAGTCCATGCGCACTGTTTTCTTAGTTGGTGCTGGCGAATATTGTGCTCGTGGAGAACTGAAAGAAGATTGCACCGGTAAAACTCTTTTATTTGGTGCAGATGGTTGCTGCAACCATGGCCTGTGTTCCATTTGCATCATTCTCTTATTCGGCATTAACATCTTCTGCATTGCAGGACTATTGGGCATAGCTTCCATAGGTGCCTTACGCTTCACCGACAACTGCTGTGAATCTAAATTATTTATCACATTTACCATAATCCCTGATGAATTATGAGGGGCCAAAAACGGCTGTGAGATCGACCTGTATGGCTGAATTTCCATCTGGCTGGTCTGCTGACTTCCTATTGGCAGCATTTGTGATCCAAGATACCCAGGAAAAGTATCCAAAGATCCTGTTTGCAAGTTTGACGTAGGTATCTGCTCAGAGCCACTAATACCAGCTTCCATCAGCCCCATTTCCGTGCTTGATACCGGAATCTGCTGCATTGGTGTATCAGATGCCTTCAACCCTGCTTTAAGTGAAGAGCCCAACTGGTCAGATATCGCTTCCAGGCGAACCATCTGGCTGCCTGGCATTGAAAGCTGTTGAGACACCAGATTGTTGGACATGCTATACCAGCACCTTGTTACATCCGCAAGGCACACTGAAAGTTAAATCAGAGAGAAGGTTATTAATTTAAACTCAATATTACCAATTTTTTTTGCTAAGAAATGTCTTCTTTCCATGATAACAAAGAACTAAGGGAATAAATGGAAGCACCAGAAGATAATGGTTATATGCATCCCACTCACAGAGTTTTCGGCTTCTAACGAGCCTTCACTTTCAGTTGTTATCATGTAAGCAATTATAATTGTTGTACAAACATTGGAATAAAAAAGGTTGGGGAAATAGCATAAATATTCTAACAAAAGAAAGCAGCATTTTTCCAATCATTCCACAACTTCAAAGACCACATGCCCATAAAATATAGTTATTGCATTCAGAAACTTGATGCTTAATATCTGCAGCTTTTGCTAAAGTAAAATGCTGCTTAAAATACATTTTATTGTGTACAGCTGCTCACAAACTTGCAGCAAATGCAAAAGTTTTCTTTCAAGAGATTGACATATTTATTCATTTCAAACACATCTCTGAAGTCTGCAGTTAGATAATCAAACTATGAAACTACCAGAAATTCCGCAATAGAATATGGAGCGTATGAACATGATGCATGTTCTTCTCAAAGAGGATATAGCAAATTTCCATTCCTTTTCATATGCCCTTCTCAAAGAGATACAGCAAATTCATATTCACATTTTCTTGACTCCATTTCCAAATTTTTATACTTATTACTTTTCACATAAATCAAATAGGACAAAGTATAACCTTTAAACACCCTGAAATGGACCTTGCTTAACAACATGCAAGTATTGCCTTGAACAGAAACTCACAACTCAAGTATGCACAAGAACAAAATCCCCCGTCAAGATAACATATTTCGACACTTGAAAGGATCTACAGGAGCTTAATTACAATAGAAAAGTTCTAAACCCCTATATAAGCTATAAGCTATATATCTACAAATACAAGCTTAGTAGAACTAAAAGGCCAAACCCTACATATGATTAAATTCCAAAAGATAACTCGAGTAGATCATTAGACTTAATAAAACGTGGCTTACACCACCGCAATTTAATCATCAAATGAATATAAAGAAAAGTTACTTATATCCCAAAAGTAGAAGACAAAAAAAAACCTCCAAAACGGTAATCACGATAATTTACTCTCCTACGGCGTCCCTAACGGGGAAGAAGAAAAATTGAAAACCGTGATTTCAAAAGTATTACAACAGGCGATAAAAGAGAAAACTAAATTAAAATAATTCAATCAAAAAGCAAACTAAAACAAACCAAATCAATCGAAAAGCAGAAAGCATGAATAAAAAACTAGTCAGAAGAAATTATGGAAACAAAACCTAACAACAGCAATCCAATAAAAACCTAGGATTCGCAGAGATAGACATAATGATTGAGTACCTGATCGGAGACTTGACCAAGAAATCACCAAGGAGCTGCCAAAGAAGGAGTGGGAGAGCTGAGCTGATAACACAGAGAGAGAGAGAGAGAGAGAGAGAGAGAGAGAGATAAGGAAGATTAGGTTTGGGTGGGTTAAAGCCGACGTCTGTTCGGTGAGTAAGAAAGAGAAAAGAAAGAGAAAACCCTAGAAACAGATCTGAGGGATAAATAATGTGTGAACTGACTTTGCAGCTTTATTATCGGCACAGAAAGCAAACATGTTTTATAGGGATAGAGATATGTGGGCCTGCCACGTGGCATTCTTTCCAGCTATGTAGGGACAAAAAACCCAGGCCCATCTGCTTCTTTCGGATAGACAGGCCCAGGCCCACCAACCTGCAGCTTGTGCCACTAATATAAATTCAAAAAATTTAATTAAAATTATATTTATTTTAAATAAAAATCATATAAACATTTAAAAAAGAATTACACATATATTTTAAATTTCATAAAACTTTATACTGTTCTAATTTCAAATTAATCTAACTTTTATCATCTCCTAATACAATTTCAAATTAAATATAAATTTACAAATGAATTTAAAATTTTTTTAAAATTTATTTGTTTACGTTCTTATTCTAATTATTTACTTAATCCCTCTGCTTAATTCAGAAATAGGTAAAGTAGGAAGTATTTTATAATGCAAAACAAGATAATATTTCCCATCCTAATCGGAGAGAAAACTTTAAATTAAATAGTTTAACGATATTAGTATTAAGGATGGTAACAAAGTTTGGATTGTGATAGACTTAACAAAATTAAATCCGTCTCAAAGTTAAGAATACATTATTCCAAAACTGCTTCGAATCTTTTTTTTTTGAATATGTTAAATATTATGGTAAAAAAAATAAATAATTATTTTAAAAAATTTAACGGATAAAATTTAACGGTTTTAATACATGTGGAACATTCTGATTGACTAATCGCACGCATGCAAACAATTATTCTTTTCCTGAATAAAGAAATTACTCCTGAACAAAATATTAATTTATATTTTTTAAAGAAAGAAATGATTTATTTTTAGAGGAAAACATGTTCTTCTTCCTAATATTTTCTGAAAAGCATGCTGGTATTTTCTGAGAAAATGCCATAATTTTCTCACATCCAAGCAAAATACCCGAATAAACATGATTCTGGATATTAGACATTACACATCAACTTGTTTTTCTTCTCTTTCTTTCTCCATCTAGAAATTTTATAAAATATCTCTTAGTGCCAAAGATTTAGACTTCTACTTCGCAATCTAACGCCTCGAATTCTGTAATATATGTATATATTTTCTCTTACAAGTTAATATATGGGTTTGTGTTTCTCTCTCATCCATCTTTGATTCTCTCACAGCCTCTCTCTTTCTCTCCCTCAAAAAGTTTGCCGATGAAGAAATCATGACATTTATGTTGTAATTTGAGCCATGGGCGCCTCAAGTTCTCTCTAATTCTCTTTCCACATTCTGGGTATAATCAGGTAATAATAAAGTTTCATTCTTTCAAAGAATCTAATCCATTAGAGATTAAAAAAAAAGAGGGCCTAATTTTCTTTTCCCTTTAATTTGCTTTCTTCAAAATTAATGTAATATTTTCATAAATGCATTTCCCAACGAAGCATTTCTCTTTTATATCCATCAAGAATTATTTTATTTTGTTTCTGTGTTACACGCTTTCATTTAGATCTAATGGCATTTTCACCCGATAGTGTTCATCCTGGTTTCAGGTGATTCAATTGGTCTCCAATGGTTTGATCTAACAAAAAAGGGGGATTTTTGTTAGAGAAAGGAAACATCATGCTGAAGCAAATTTTAAGCAAGCTTCCTCGAAAATCCTCAAAAACCGAGTCGCCTGAGTCAGTTCGGATTAACTCAGGCACCGGAGCTGGTGCCCCCTCGTCCTCCGGTCAAAATTGCAGCAATGGTAGGAACTCATCTCCTGGTCTATCAAACCAGACAAAGCGGACGTCATCAGCGGTTTTTCCAACGAATGTGGTGACTGCAATTGAACCCATTGTGCCCTTCAAGGACGTGGGTAATGCAGAGAAGATGAATCTGTTCGTAAGTAAAGTGAGCCTTTGTTGTGTAACCTTTGATTACAATGAACCAGGTAAGAATTCTTTAGAGAAAGATGTTAAGCGGCAAACATTGATTGAGCTTTTGGATTTTGTTGGTTCTGGGTGTATGAGATTTAGTGAGCCAGCAATTCTAGCGATGTGTAGAATGTGTGCTGCTAATCTCTTTAGAGGTTTCCCACCCAATTACAGATCTAATTCTTCAGGTGGCAATGGTGAAAATGATGATGATGAGCCAATGTTTGATCCTGCTTGGCCACATTTGCAGATTGTTTATGATTTGCTACTCAAATTCGTCACTTCATCTTGTCTGGACACCAAGGTAGCTAAGAAGTATATAGATCACACATTTATTTTGAGATTGCTTGAGTTGTTTGATTCAGATGATCCAAGAGAAAGGGAGTGTTTGAAGACCATTTTGCATAGGGTTTATGGGAAGTTCATGGTTCATCGTCCCTTTATTCGAAAGTCGATGAGCAATATCTTCTACCGATTTGTGTTTGAAACTGAGAGGCATAATGGGATTGCAGAGTTATTGGAGATTTTTGGGAGTATAATTAGTGGGTTTGCTTTGCCTTTAAAAGAAGAACACAAGATTTTCTTGTTGAGGGTTCTTGTTCCTTTGCACAAACCAAAATCATTGGGGGTTTACTTTCAACAATTATCATATTGTATTACACAGTTCATAGAGAAGGAGCCTAAGTTGGCAAGTAGTGTGATAAAGGGATTGTTGAAATACTGGCCAGTAACAAATAGCCAAAAGGAGGTTATGTTTCTTGGTGAGTTGGAGGAGATTTTGGAAGCCATTAACATGATGGAGTTTCAAAAGGTCATGATCTCATTGTTTTGGAGATTGGGTTGTTGCATCAACAGTTTCCACTTTCAGGTAATTTTCTTCTCTTCCATGTATATATACACACACACATACACAATTTTTAGCGCGAGAATTCTGATTCTTAAATGTTTGAAATCTCTAGTTCTTTTTTGTTTGCTTGTTATTAACAATGTTATCTTCAAGTACTGATTATGTTAATGCCATATCTCTAAGATCTCATCATTTCATTCTCTCAATACCAGTCCATTTCTTCAGGTATCAATTTCAAGTTTTGGCTTTTTTCTATTCTATGGTATATTTGCTAAGGGAGACCAATGGTGTTTGGTGCTACAATCTGTTGAACTTTTACTTGAGCTCTTAGTTGTTCTTCTGATTCCATGTTTACTGACATATCAATGGATGAATGGTACATACTTCCATCTCATTCAATGATGGTATAGGTTCGAGTTGTAAGTTATGTGTGTTCCGTTTGTCCTCATAAGGAGGTTTGACATATCATTTGTGTAGGTTAGCACTTATTTAATTAATGAAGTTGTATTAGTTTCTACTTAAAAGATCATGTATATATATTTCTAACTTAAGCAAAAAGGAGGAAATCTTGTATGGGTAGCTTATATAAAAACAATAGTATAGGGATAATAACAGTGTATTGAGTGGATAGACTTGAACTAGTGAAAGAATGGAAGAAAAGTTGTATGGTAAAAGTAGATTTGTTATAATTTTCAGGTGGCTGAAAGGACGCTGTTGTTATGGAACAACGATCAAGTAGTGAACCTGATTGCACATAACCGGCAGGTGATTGTTCCAGTGATATTTGCAGCGCTGGAGAGGAATGTGCAAAAGCATTGGAATCAAGCTGTGGTTAAGCTGAGTTTAAATGTCCGGAAAATGTTGCTGGAGATGGATGAGAGTCTGTTCATGGCGTGCCATTCTCGGTACATGGAGGAAGAAACAAAATTATGCTCGGTAGCTGAGACACGGAGGAAAGTGTGGGAACAACTAGAGAATGCAGCGAGTCTACAGCCCATAACGAGAAATACACCGATTCTGCTCTCTCCTTTTGCAACCTCCATTGCCTGTTAACCACCTTCAATGTAATCTGTATTCATGGTGTTGGTTGTGGCATTTGTATTATACAAAAATTTGATTATATTGTATTATATTTGGGGCAAATGAAGAGGTTTAATAAGTGTTAAGAGAGAGAAAGAAAATCTCAAGGATTTTTTTCTCAAGGATTTCCTTTTGGGAGTGAAAATGTTAGGAGTAGTTTTATAGAATTAATTAACTGAATCGAATACCATAAATATCCACTCAGAATTAAATAATATTGTAATATAATACAATGTTTGAATCACAATGGGTAATAACTATAAGTCTTATTTATTATATTTGTTTTAAAATATTTGTATTACACATATATAAAAAAAAAAGTGGCATAATTATTTTAATTTTATATAAATATAAAATTAATATCTATAAAAAAGTATAGAAGTTGATATACTTTATTGTATAACTTTCTTATTGTGGAAATTATTTTATAGTTTTTTTTCTTGATGGTAGGTATTAAAAATTGAATAATTTCCTAATTAATAAAAATTTCCAAATATTAAATTATTCACCTCAAATTTTCCTCAAAATTAGTTAAGTTTCTTCACAAACAGTTTCCTTCTTTCTCACCCAGAAACCATCCGACCACAACTCACTTTAACCCTTATTTCTCCTTAATGGTTGGAACTGATTTTACTTCTGTTTTCACCAAAAAATTTCTAACACGTAAGGCTACTTCTCTCTAAAATTTCTGAATTTTTGGAGTTCATTTGAGCGCTCAAAAAAATAAAAATAAAAAACCATGACCCAAGTAATTGTCAGCTTACCAGAATGCCTCCAGACCTTCTCGTGGTCCGACTGACTATATCTATCTCCCTATAGAAAGAAGCATTTTAGTTGGTTCTTACACCAAAATTTTTCTGCCACATACGACTACTTTTCCTTGAAGTTTCAAAATTTTGGGAGTTCATTTGAATGGTGAAAAAATTCAAAAACTAGAAGTCATGTGTACAACAGTCTTTACCTGAGGTTACCTGAGTTTATAGTGTTCTTTCTTTAATTTCTCCCTCTTGGAGAAAACATTTCCCACTCTACTTTCACTAAAATTTACGTAAGATATAAGCCTAAACATTCCCCGTATTTTAGAATTTTTGGAGTTTTCTAGCCTAGGAAAAAAGGTTAAAAACGAAAGAGGAGAGAGGATGCCACTTGCAGGTTTTTCTTTCTTCCTCTCGAGTCACTTGCTCCCCTCTTCTTTTCCTATCCTTTTCTTTGTGTTTTAGACTACTAAAATGGGGGACTTAGCTTCTGTTTGAGGCCCTATGTAGTTAGAGGAGATAAATGAGCGGTGAGGTGGATCAATGAAGGTGAAATGAAGCCTTGGGAGTGGAGGAAAATCTCCCTATCCATATGCATGGTGGCCATCTGGCCACAATTATCTTTTCTCTTAATGATTCCCTACTTTCACCTCACTAAGCTCTTTTGCTTTCGATTGACCTTCTCATGTAATTAATGGCTTTGGGTCCAACATGTCTCGTTCTTAATTAATTAATTTTTCCCTCTAATTTTTAAGTTAATTAAAGGAGAATTTTTACTTGGGGGATTTTTCTCAATTCTTCGAGGGATTTTGTTTTTCTCTCTTTTTTCCTATATCGAAAATTTTTCTCTTTACTTCTTTTTCTTTTCCAACATGTCTCCTTGTCGTCCCTTGAGTTTCATTTTCAAATTCTTTTAATTTTACCTGGGGAAATGTTTTCTCCCTAGGGCCATTTTATCCCTCTTGGGGGATTTCTCCCACTTAGGAGACTTTTCTCCCACTTAGAAGATTTTTCTCCTAGTTGGGTGAATTTCTCCTACTCAGGGGATTTCTCTTCCACTAAGGATTGAGGATTTTTCTCCTATATGAGAGACTTTTCTCTCTTGGAGAAAAATTCTTTAATGGGAGATTTTCTCCAAGGGAGAAAATCCCTCTTGAAGAATTTTACACTTTGAGAAAAATTTCTTATGAGAGATTTCTTTTCCTTTCTCAAGGAAAATTCCCTCATACATCTAGAGAATTAATTTGTTTTTTTCAACCTTTCATTCTTCTTTGAAAAATGTCTCGAATGTTGCTTGTCCTATTTCTGAATCGTCATAAATCATACTATAACTTGTCCAATAACTTCAATCACAAAATAATTTTAATTCAATAAATCAAATAGTGTAACAAATCATTCTCACATATTACATTTAGTGGTAGTTTGAATGAATTATAACTTGTATTGTAAGTTTTAAAAATATTGTTAAAATAACTTGTAACTAAAAGTATGTTAATAAAACATTATTTAGCATTTGGTAAACTAATTGTAGAAAAAGTTATTACTTAAAGAAAGTAAAAGATTTGTATTTGATAAAATTAACTTTTCAAAATTAAGTATAAAGTTTAATAAAAGACCAAACCATCTTTTAAAAGCTACATATTATAGTTTTTAACTCTAAAACTATCAAAACAAAATTTTAGCTTTGCCTGTTAAAAAAAGTGTTTTATATTTTATTCATTTAATTATAAAAGTGCTTTCAAGATAACAAAAACAGCAGTAAAAAACACCACCAAATAGGCTTTACATTCATGTCTGAGTTAACCAAATATACAATAAACATTTATTTCTTGTATAGCACATCTACTTTCTATTGTATATATGGTACTAGTAATGTGACCATCACATTTTAACCATAAATTTTTTCTTACCATTTTCAACACTAAAATGACTTTCATAAACAAATTGACCTTAAAAGTAATTTAACCAATACCAAATTGACCTGATATGTGCTACTTTATGGTTGAATACAAATTATATAATTAAATTCAATAAAAAAGAGATGAATTACATACAAGGAGATTGGATAAAAAATTGGAAGAAATCAAGTTGCTTTCTTTTGTTTTTTTCAGTTATCAGTTGGTTTTTTAGAAAGAAAACCTTGAGAAAAATTATTCTAATGAGTCTTAAAGATCAACTTTCTAGGTGTGTCAAACCCTACCAATTACAGATTACAATCAAATCGGCCTGGAAGCACCAAGCAGGATTAAGATGTTACAACAACTACAGGCAAATTTACGAGAAAGAAAAAAGAAAAGAAAGAAAGAAGACAAATTAGACCTTAAATACCAAAGGAGAAATTCGGCGGACAAAAACGAGGATTGTCCTCATGAAAAAGATATACCGAGATTGATTGATTGCTGTAATTATCCATTAAAGATTAACCAGCTTCAGTTCGTCTTTGAAAAGAGTGAAAGAACTCGTTCTGGGGACATCAAAGTTGCCACATTCTTGAACTGTCACCATAAAAATAACAAGGTCAGTGAGAAAAAGAAGATGTCCACTTAAGTCCTTTAACCATTGAATTCTTCTCTGTGATGTTAAATAAGTAAAGGTCACACTAATTCAAACATTTTGCTGATATGGCTACATGTAATCGCATTTCTTTTATAACCTTATCTTGACATATTCTAAAATGTGATCTGAAAAATTTCTACGTTGCTAAAAAGGTGAAATATCAGAAGCATGTAGTACCTTCTCTTGTCTGTATTTCTCACGTATAGCATGCAAAGAGCAACCACTAGTGTTCAGTTGCAGATCTTCAAGTGCAAGTACTGTAGTTTTCAGCTCCGATGCTTTGTAACTAGTATAGTGTTCTAGAGTAACATTCTGGAAGAATATGCAGGAATTTCTTCAGACAACTTTTGTTGAACAGAAAAGGAATGTAAGAAAAAGACGCATCATATTAGCACACATAAAAGAAGGGCAGACCCATGGATGGTCGGACTGATCAAGCGTCCATCTGGCTAAGAACACAGCAGATGCAGCAACGGTCGAAGGTAAGAACTTCAGGAAACTATACTCGACAAGAGTCAATTCTGCTAAATAATTTGCCAAGAACTCCAACTCCACGCAAGGAGCCTGTAAATTAAAGCACTTAAGATGTCAATCAGTTTCTCAAGTATGGTGAAGATATTTTTTAAAACTTTAAAGCAGTCGCAGGTGATTAGTTTAACATGAAATACCTTGCAAGATGCTTGTGCAGCTTGAATGAATCTCCTGAGAGAAAAAGGTGTGTCAGAACAACTTGTGACTTCACCATTCAATGGCATTCTTTCAAAAATAAAAAACTACCTGAGAAATGTTTTTGTGGTCGGAACAGATAACTGGAAGCGTAAGAAATTCAGAACTTGATTCTCCATTTTTAGGACCTGCTATTTGACTTCAATCAGGAACCTTAAATATTACTTATTTTTAAATGAAAGATAATGTGTAACACTCGAGTGGTTTCTGATATCAGTCATCAGCAACAACTTAGGTAATTGGGAAATTCCTTGAATGTTAGGTTTGAAAGCTGATGGTTGCTAAGATGATTGCCTCGCGGAATAAAATACTAGTATGGATTTCAATAGTTGAAAAATACAAATAAAACTTCATGAAAAAATAAAGAGGGTTCTTTCCCTTTCCAGAGCCAACTATTCCTGAACAAGGAGAGCCTTAAGATTTCAGATTAATTTCTCTCGACTGTTATTTTGCATTAAGAATTTCCTATATGTTGAGGAACCAATAGGTTTAACATGTTCTTAACCAAGCTTGACTTTATGGTAATGCATGAAGTGAAAAACAACAAGGCTGATTTGGGGCAGAGGGTACCCTCCCTGTTTTTGCCCCAGATTCCCGTTGGGGAATTGTTCTCCGTCCCCGTTCCCACCCTGCAGGGAAACGGAAAATTTCCGTTCCACTGTGAGAATTTTACATTTACTATTCTTAGTATAAATTAAAGTTAACTATAATTACACATAATTTTTTAATATAAACAAAAAAAAAATCCAAAAAAAGTATAAATATAATATATTCTATACAAATTAAAAAAATAAATATCCACATTATTTTAATATAATATAAAATAAAATATAATATTTAAACAAATATTTATTTATGTTAGTGAGGCAAGCGGGAACAGGGCGAGACCGTTTTCTGTGTTCCTGGTTGAACTGTTTCGGTTCTGTTTAATTCAGGGTTCATTATCCCGTGATCAACGAGGATTCCTCGCTGATCTCTCGCGTCCGAGTGAAATTATCATTGCTTAAACTAGCTTTTAGAAGTAACATAAAATATGAAAAAAGATGAGATCAGGGTATGAAGGTCGTACAAGTTGAGGGGAGACAGGAAAAGGGCAGTAGGCAGGAAGATCGTACAAACATTAGAAATGACAATAATAAGATAACAAAATGCAGAAATCTTCGTGGTCATACATGTAAAATCATCTATACATACCTCTCCTCTTGTGTAAGTATTGTCTGTGATGAAGCAAAATTCTTCCACTCGAGGTGCACAGATCTCTTCGTACTTTCTTCGAACCATACATAAAAGACACAGTAGAATCCCTCAGTGATTGGAGAAACAGACATGACAAGTATCACCAAATATATCCACTGATGCTTAAATATATGAACCTCAAACAGAAATAAACACTTTTAACTGTCTAATGAAGAGAACAAAAATGGAATTGATGTTGCCAGTTGTATATAAACAACCATAGAAAAGCTTCCGAGCTAAAAGGCCTAGATGAGAAGTTACTGCTTGCACATCGAAATCCATACTCTAAGATCTTCATGTCTCGACCATTAATAGTAGACACTTAACACTGACGTTAACATTTTATTGAATCCATAATTTCCCATTCTTGTTGTGGCTACCATCATTAGTGCATCAACAGAGCCTCATGGAACATAATTTTCAGTTCAGAACAGTTTGTTCAACATAATTTCTCAATAATAACAAAAACACAGATAAATCGAGAACTTACGAGGCTATCAGCATGCAAGTAACACCAAGTAGCTGGAGCCTATGCTTTTCAATATAATTTTGGGAAAGAAACCTATCGATGAGATTCACTGTGAGGTGAAGTGTGTCGGGTACCAGCCTATACTCTTCAGACACATGATATAGAAGTATAAGTTATAAATGAATCAGCATCTCAGTGATCAAAAGATCCATAAGCTTTTCCGTATTATGTTCTGACATAGATACTGTCAATCTCAATTATCGGATAATATAAAGTTTATATTTGATAGTTTAAATCTAACCAGCACTCCTCTTTTCTTCTTAGTGGCATTACGTGCTACAGTATTATGAAGACACTATCCCATTAGATAATCCGCATTCTGAATGGTGCCACTAAAGTCAACATGTAGAAAGGACGTAACAATTATGAGAAAGCTAGAAAAGAACACATTTGTATCTTTTGTAGATAGATACAAACTACAAAAGATACAAATGCAAATATCTTTTTCTTTTTTTGAGCTGAAATCAGATAGTGTTCACATTATGGAGCAAAATATTAACAAATGAATATCTTTTCCAATGCAGAGCTGAAATATAAGAAATACAGTTGTCAAAAACGCCAAAGAGGGAATGACACAAAGACATTGGACTGATTTTTTTGTTAATCTGGATAAGGACTATGAGTTGGCTGGAAGATGTGGATGTTTGTATATGCCTAAGAAAAATCTGGTGGAATTCTTCGGTTTCTAGGCCAAAGAAAAGTCCCATCCAGTATCCTTCAGCAAACAAACATTTTGCAATATTTGACGCAAATTAACTCGTCTACTATTGCCATACAGATGACATACATATGTTTCAGTATACTAACCTCCACAAGCCAATCAATCAGAATTCCACGCATGTTTGGAGTAATATCTCGCTGCAACTTCTCCATATAATTAGTTGAAGGCCGTTGATCAAGCTGAAGAAGGAGATATTTTACACTTTTAGAATCAAACATATTGGCGATAGGCAGTGAACCTATAAGCTACTATTTCCTTCTCTGCTAGCATCATTGCTAAACTGAAAAACAAAACTTATTTCAGGAAGGCAACTAGAATATTTTAAATCCTTTGTGGGAAAACCAAAACAACCCAACAAGAGATGTTGCAACTGAATATTGGCCTTCTAAAGAATCCATGAAAGAGACTCTAAAATGCCTCAAAGAACTGCTTTCCAAATGATAGAGGAAATAGCAATAGTACCAAGCCAAAAACCGTGATTAACAATTCAGAACATAATTATTATGTCTAAAATGTTAAATAATGCAGTAGCAGTCAGCTATAAATGAGAATTTAGAGGAATTAAGCAAATGAATTCTAGAATTCAAAAATAGCAAATATCAAACCTCTGTTACACGAATGTTATCATATATATCAGGGGCATACAAGCTACACGCTAGAGGATCTTTAAGGTTCGAATCGATATCTAAGACTCCTGGATCACCCAAGATTCCCAGTTTGTCGGAAACCTTACTTTCTTCTGCATCCAACAAAAGAAGCGTCAGTGTTGGTTAAATAAATTTATAAGCAGGGTATTCTTATCCACAGACTGCCTGTTTTCTACTTCCTGTACAAATTTGTAATGTTACAATTTTTTGGAACTCTATTCTCAAAGCATCAACCAGAATCAACATGCTATACGGTACAGCAACTGTTCAGCACGTCCAGAAGATTGTTTCTCAAATAATAGTAAACACACACCCACATATATAAAGAGAGAGAGATTCTGAGAAACAAAGTTCTTGAAATGATGATGAAGATAAGAAGCAACAACTTCGATAACAAAAATTCACTATCAACAGAAATAATATCTTTTGCAAGTTAGGCTTTCATAGTCTTTAGGGCAAAAAAATTGTCATAGAAAGGCTGATTTCTGTTACTGTCTTAGCCAGAATCTGCCTTTCAATTCCAAGAAACTAGGTTCCATTTTGATACACGGAAATGTTTTTTAGTTTCACTTCTAAATCTATGATATGTTTTATTCACAAAAACATATAAGTTCCTTAACAATTAAAAAAATGATATCAAAAATAATTATGGAGTTTAAAAATTTTTAAAATACCACGGCATCAATATTGCGCAATGGTTGCTTATAAATCTGAATATTGTTTTAGTAAATGATATTTAGGTGGAACCCTAGAATACATAAGAATCCTGATGATAAAAACTATCCACAGGTCTGTAAAGCCATTGAGAAAAAATCAAGTATTGCTTTGCCTTTTTGTTCATTAGCCAACATACAAGACCTTTTACTTGTATGTATTTATCAGATAAGTAATATAATGCATTTACAATATAATTTAATTTTGTTCTAGAAAGGATATTTAAAAGATTGCCATCCTGAAACATCGATATCATTGTAATTGAACATCATATAAATGAACATAATGTATCAGTAATGCCTATATAGTCCAATCTCTTACTTCAAACCACTATTTCAAATTATTTTTGGTCACTCAACAATTTAAGAATTATAACTCCAGATTATTATGGAAATTCTTGAAATATGAAACAGACCTTTCTTTAGAAGGCTCTTGAGACAAAGATGTTTCAAACGAGTATGTGGTGCAGATTTATCGGCTACATCACATTTTCTTCTAACATGATGCATGCTACAGTCTGTAATTTCTCTTTCTTCCAGATGTGCTGGGATAGCTACTTCTTGTGGTTCCACCATCCTTATTTTTGACAAGTCTTCAGCTAATTTTGTTTTAACACCTTCTTCATCCAATAGAATTCCCATGGAAACATCTTTCTCCATAGGCTCTCTTCTTCCTTGCTCGCTAGACTGTCAACCAAAGATGCCAACAGGCACTTTAGTCCAGATACAGCACATAAACCAAAAACCAAGTGAATTTGAAAAGGGAATCATGTGACTAATTGACTAAAACTTAGCTCAGCTAAACTAAGTTGAGCATTGAGAAAAAATGGGTTTCAACAAGAAGTTGAGGGAAACAAATGAAAAATTAATATTCACCATGTGAAACTTCCTAACACAATTGCTACTAACAACAAAGTATCCCTTGATTTTACAATTAGGTAAGGGGAATCTTTAAATGGAAAAAGTTTTTAAAAAGAAATCCAATCATAAACAACTTACACGATGTGGAACCATACTTGGAGACCACCATCATACCTGAATGTTAGCCTCAGCATGGCAATTGATGTATAAACTTTCATCAGGAGAATTAGTTATATCTTTAAGAACTGCTCGTCTCTTACGCTGAAGGCCACGGGCAGCAGCTGCAGAGGTTTTGTTCTCATCTGATGCTGGCCTCTTGGAATTCACCCTAATAACACGCTTTTGCTCTTGTTTAAAGGATGGTTTGGAGGGAGGATGAATCCCCACCGATTTTCCCAGGGCTTTGGCACGTGCTCGGGTCATTCTTGCAGTTGGTTCCTCCGCTTTAGCAGTAGCATTTTCCTTATTCATATTTGCATGCCTTGTATAAGAGGAATGCATGGTTTCAAACTTGAATTTTATTCATTGAACCTGCACTTACAAGAGCACTCTCAGTGTGAGAAAAAAGAAAGAACAGTCTGAGCGCAATAAATCAATAGGTAATACAGGTGCTATTTGCTGCTATTAACATCGACACATAACAAAGCCTTACAACTCTTTACGGAAAGAGTGAGGACAACTCGACAAGCAATGAAGATTTCCTGCTTGATGAATGAATCATTTTGGACTTGACTATATATGGAGATGTGGATCAACATGCACAAAACCTTAACCTAGTATGACAACAGATTCAAAATAAGTTTTGTTACGAATTGCCTTTCAATTTGTCAACTGCATCCTCAAATCGCAGGGAGAGAAACCATATATTAATATGAGCTAGCTGGCTGATTTCCTTTTCCTTTTAATTTTTTGAACAATCTTCATCTCCCTTGATACTAATGCAAACTGCATAAGAACATCTTACAGTATCAAATAGTTACACTCTGCCCATCCATTATATTAATCTCCCTTGGGACATTTTATGCCTTTTAAGGATTTTCTTTTGTTGCTTATTGTAATATCTACATTTTTGCAAAAATTAGACTCACCAAAACAACCAAAAAATTTAAACTACCCCATGCTATATTTCTAGTTTGTTGAAGGGGAATTCTCCTTTTAAAAGTAAATGGAATCAATATATAAGGTTCCATCCATTTCCAATTAATCATTAAAACAAAAAGTTGCAACCAACGGAAATCAAATGAAACTGAAATAGAATCAATAATGTGCTTTGGACACTTAATCTCTATCAGCTAGCCCCAACAGCTACTGAAACACAGAAAACAACTATTTTAGTCTTCCCGTTGATGTAAAATATAACCTCGAAAGAAGCTAAATGACTGAATCTAGCCTCATTATGTAGGCTCTTAGCCTCTTTTGAGGAAGGAAACACAATTTTCTTCTTATTTTCTCCTATTTGTTTTGGATAACCAAACACAATGCGACATTGTTCAGTTCAAAGAATTTTCGATTAAACAGCATATATCCAGCATCATAAGATTCAACGCGGAAATGTGATTCGAACCAATATGCCAGAGAACAGAACTCCAGAAACCATCCTCCACATTTAGCCCAAATTACTAGATAAATCTGCTTCAAATTTAACAGGCACAATTAAATAACGCAATGCAGGCGAAAATCCACAAAACTTCCAGGTCAAAAAACGAAAAACCAGTCAAATGAGAGATTAAGGAGGCCAAATTAGTAGCAGAAAAAACATAAAAACAAAAAACAGGCACCAAACTCCTTCAAAGGAGAGCCTCCACCGCAGATCTACGAATCGAAACTCGAAACGTCATGGACATTTAAGCGAATAATCTGCGGCTCTCATTCGATCCAGAGGTAAATCAAAACAACTAGCCAGCACTGTAAAAAACAAACGCACACGTAGACGACGACAAAGACGCAGAGAAGAAGATACAGAGAGAAAGAGGTAAATTGGAGGATGGAGAGCTGAGCTTACAACGGTATCGGGAGCTCCGAGACCTCCAATGGCGGTCGTAAGAGCTGCGTAGAGAGAGAAGGGTGTTGGTAGGAGGTGAGGGAGGAGAGTATTGTTGATAATATAAAGAGTAGTAGAGCGGAGCGTGAGAGCGGGATGGAGGCACAGTTTGAACTTGTAAAATTGCGAAAAGGAAATATATAATAAATTAAAAAAAAAAAAAAAGAGAGAGAAAATTAAATAAAAAATTAATTTATTATTTTAAGCTTTTGGATTTCCAGAGTGTTGGTCAGTGGATGCTTTGACTCATTTTATTGATATTATAATTCTTTATTTTATGATCCTCTAGTCTTTTTTTATAATTAATTTTTTTATTATTTTTCTGTTAGTTTAAAATTATAATTATATATTAAAATTGAAGGCAGATCATGGATCAATTTCACTGCTACGTGGCAGGTTAAATAATTTTTTATTATGTATTTAAATTTTAGGTTTTTAATTTATTTAATAATAATTTTCTAAAATTGTTGTGGGCCACTCCTACAGTGACCCAACATATGTCATTTCCACATTTTCCAATTTTTAAGATTTTTAATTTTATATGTTCGTAAATATATTATAAATAAATGGAAAAGAGTTTCAAAAAAATAATGATAAAAAGATAATTTTCTTTTATGAATTAAATAATAATTAGTCTTGTACTAAAAATAACATTATATTCCCCCAAAAAAAAAAAATTAAGAATAAAATGCTGTGAATTTGTACAATTATTTTAAGAAAACATCACATATGACTCTTACAACTTTTTCTTTTTGGAAAATAATTACACGATATTTTCAAGTACTAACTTATTTGTTCTTTAAATACTTTCTACACCATGTTTCATTAATACAATTCATATAAAATTATAATTTAAAATAGTAAAAAATGAGAAAATATATTAAAATTTATTCATTTAGATATATAATCTAATTTTTTTAAAAAAAAATTATATTAATACCCGTCTTTTAAAATATTAGTATCTTATTGTTATTATTATTATTTTAAATAATATAAATGACGAGAATAAATTATCGGGTAAATAAAATAATTTTTTTCTATTTTTTTTTTCAAAAAAAAAAAAGGAAAGAGTTGCAATTTGTAATTCAAAATTATCAATGAAAAAGACTTTTGATAGCATTAGCTGAGCAAGCTATCAACAATTATTAGTTATAAATTAGAGATGGGCCAGGAATGACACATTTTCAAATGAAAATTTTTTTAAAAAAAAAATTCATTTTATTATAGCTATTTATTGTTTTCTTAAAAAAAAAATTTATTTGTAATTAAGAAATTAATAAAGGGTTTTAAACTGTTAAACCACATGCATTTTATTAAATTGTTGTAATAAGTGTGTATTTAAAATATAATAATTATATTAATTTTCTGTATTTTATGTTTAATGATTAGAGAAATTATTATTTTTTATCATGCTTTTTGAAGATTTCAGGATGAATATTTGGCTGGCACTAAGTTTAAATGTTCATATTATTTAAGGTTTGAGGAATATGTTTCTGTTCAGAATTTTGATTTTAGGTTTTTGCTTAAATTTTAGATTTTTATATGTTAAAGTATATTTGTGTTTTATATTTAATATTTAAATAGTATGGTAAATTTGATGCAAAATTAAAATTATACACATAAGTTCTTTGTATAGTAAATATCATCCTCCTTAAATAGAATAATAAAAAAAAAAAGTAGGTGGCTCTTGAATAATTTTAAAACTATTAGATACAAATAATATCTCATTAGTTAGGTCACATAAACAACATTATAATTTATAAAAATCTAACAAGAAGAATATAATAAATAATAAATAAATAAGAAACAAAACATTATCTATCAAACGAACTAAATCCTTTGTAACAACATTCTCAATTACAAAAATCACAAAAGCATAGTGTGAGTCACTATTCAAAGTAACACATATAATTCTTATAGATATAATTATTTTCACATGGTATACCGAGGCTTGAACCACCTTAATCATTTTGATTAAACTTGGAGCAAGGATTTGCTTCATTCCTATAAATACAATCATCTCATTCCACTCTCTACATACCACATGTAAATAGTTCATCATTCATGTCCAACTAAGGCATCTAATTAAATTTATTTCATAACTCCCTTACTATGTGGTAATAAGAGCTCAAATATTAGCTCTCTTGTAGCTCACCTCATATATATATATATATATATATATATATTGCGGATTTAATGATTGCAGCTACACCATATACCTTAGTAAATCATCATAAACTATGCCTTCATGCTAATGGAATGTTAAATTAAACCATCAATTAACATACATGAAAAATATGAGATTATATCTTGTTTTATAATAGACACATTTGTTGTGCTTTGTAAGGATATGTACATTCCTTTAAGAGATTTGTAACACCCTACACACGATGCGTCTCCACACACAGTATGAGACGCAATTCTTGCTCGTACTATTTTTATACAACAGGCCCATAAAATATACATATACACATATCAAAATTTATCATACAACCTAACATCTCATGTAATATATAAAATAATTATATATACAGAATATGATGTCAAAATTTAGAGTTTAATTAAACAAAATAAAAATTTATTGAATATGCACAACACATACATAAACAGTAACCTTTTTACAGGTCTTACTCGTCTAGCAGCAGTTCTGACTCTTCTTTCTCATCTGAAAAATATCAAGGTAAAATTTAATGAGTTTCACCAACTCAATAAGTATTTATGTTCTTTCAATCTAGATAAGATTTAATACAAAACACACAATATGAGACAAATGTAATATGGATGTTTCAATGCAAAAATCATTTATTATTTTTACCATTTCATATGTTTCTGATCGAATTTTTAAATTTTCTCGAATATCAAATACAATTCTCTAATGTATATCAACATACTCTCGAAAGACCATAAATACACTCAAATATCAATCACAACCTCAAAACATAACTGTATACATATGAAAGATCACATATACATTCAAAATATCATTTTTAAGATTTCATCGTGTGATGTCGTTTATGTCGTTCTCGAGAAGAGGTGAAATGGATCCTCCTATTGCATAGATAACATACACAAACAAATCTCACAATAGTCACAACAGATATGTTTGTTAGGTGACCTACACTCACAAACACTTATCTACATTTGAATTAGATTTTAAACTCTATCCATGTGCAGGTTCATCATACCTGCTGAACTTCAGCCCCACACACACACTCTCCTTCTCAATTTAGACTAAATGAAAAAGGTATTCAGGGTCTGTACTTTAATTATTTGCATAATCTCGCTTTTGATTTCTTATTTATTTTATTCTCATTCTACTTCATCTAAAATTTTAGTTAACTGACCGTTTCACAACCATAATTATTGTTTTTCCTTTTTTTTTTTATTTCTTCATATTATTTTATTTTTTTCGATTTTTTACTTAATTATGAATTTTTCTAAATTTTAAATTCATTTATCGTCACAGTCCAAATATTCATTAGTTTTTGGGTTTGTTTTCTGGTTTCGTCTTCTCATAATTTTCAATAGCTTAGGTTCACTGGTTATACATTCATGTTATGTTCTTCATCGAAAATCGAGTTAGTATTCGTTCAAAATTTAAAATATATGAAATTAATAAAAATACATGTAAAATTTTAAAAATTTTAATATAGGTTCAAAGTCAGAAATACTTACACTCCTACATAACAATCTTCCCAGATCTGCCTGAACGTCCTAATTCTATGTACACGCACAACACAAATTAATTAATATAATTTAAATGCTAAATAAAAACTAATTAACCGAAATTACAAGTTTCAATGACAGCCCGACGAAATACCCGAAAATATCAGGATTTGTACCTGAGAAAGATCTTTCGGTTTCCCTTTTAGTGATTCAAATTTTCGTACCCGAGAAAGACTTTTCAAATTCTCGAACGGTGAATTGGATTCTTGAATGGGTGAATCTGGTCTTTATTCCCGAGGAAGGCCCCTCGGCTTCCACTGATGGGCCGATTTCCCACTCCCGAGGAAGGCTCCTCGGTTCTCGCACAGGTGGGTGACCCAACCGAGCTCGCACGACCAGTCCGACACCAACCACTGCTCCCCCGTTGCTCAACAACACCAAAAATACAAAAAAAAAAGCTTTACCTTTTTTGCGTGGGGCAATTCGGTCTCGGTTTAGCTCTCGATGATTTTTTCTTAGCCACCCTGTGGCTCTCTTGCTTGCTTGCGATTGGAATGATGATTTTCATGCCTAAAAAATTGGTTAGTGTAAAATACAAAGAGATTGAAAGGAAAATAGGGAGAGAAAAGGCAAAAAACAAACCCTTCTTACCTTGCTCGCGTCAGTCTCCACCGTTGCACGACGCCTCAGGTCGTTTTCTCTTCCTCTTTTTTCCTTTCGACTTGGCTCCCGTCACTCTCTTGCCTCCACCTCTCTATTCTGCCCTTTTCTTCCCTTGCGATGGTCATTCTCGGCTCTCCATTTCCTCTTCTGCTCGACCACTCTTTTTTTCTCCTTCCTATTCTCATTCTCCAGCCTCCCTCTTCCTTTCCTCTCATTCTTTCTTCCTCTCGGCTTCCCCCGTGTGACAACCTCCTCTCTTCCCTTTCACCCGATCGGCTCACCTCTTTCTCTCCTCATCTCTCTTTTTTGGCTACTCACCCAAATGAAGAAAAATCCTAAACTTTTTCTTTTTATACCTGTCATCCCCAACCGTTGGATCTCGCTAGTTCGATCTGGGTCGTTCGTTCTCCACTAAATCTCAGTCATTTGATCTTTTCAGACGGTTCGACCAAAACCATCAATTCCTTGATTTCTTTTTGCCCCCTTCCACTTTCACTTCCATTTATATATGTTTTTACCTTTTTTTTTATTTGTTTTCATTTAATTCCCTCAATTTAAATAAACTACCTAAAATTCTTAAAACTCTTTTATTTAAATCCAAATTTCAATTTTTATTTATTTTTCATATTTTTTATTTATTTATTTAGGAATGGATGTTACAAGATTAACCACTAATTTTTCACATACTCCATATATATGATTAGTAGATCAATATTCATATCCTTTTAAGTCATTACTTTGAATTGGTCAATTTCAATTCTTCTTCTT